GGTGAGTCAGAACTGCCGGCATTGTAGTCTACTCTCCCAGGATCAGGAAGCTGGAACAATGTTGTAACCACTGATTTGTAGTCATGTCCTCTTTTGGAAGACCAAGCAAAGTAGTTTTGCTTTCACAACGAAACACACGGCGGCCTAGAGTGAGTGGAGGCAGCGGGGTTGAGAACAGCGCAGCCGGCGGATTCGACGAAGGAGCGGCAACCACATGTGACGACCCCGGGCTGGACTCCGACCTTTATATGCAGACAGGTTTTATGTTTACGTGGTGCGATGCAACGCAACGCGTAAAACGACAGTACAAGTCATTATAATCAGTACCGATTGGATTTGAGACTTTAGTCTTTGCATCTTTACAGATCTTCTTTATGCACCAAGAGCTTGTAACACTCCGAAGAGAAAGGAAAAATTGAAATCGCATCATATGACTCCTTTAAGCTCAGAATTGCTTCGAACGAATCATTTCAAAATCATTGAAAAATTATTCTAATATTAAATGTATACTCTTGAGAAAATTACAATCTTTTCTGACCTTGGATGCATTTAAACCTGTTGTAGGGGGCTCCAACACAATATTGGGACACTTTAAAATATCATATGACCTGCTCTTTAAGATAACACTTATCTTAAGTGTGAACGATCATAATAGTATGGAAGCCCTTTACCGACCTTGAATAACGAATAAAACCAGGCAATTGTGACTTTTTATCTCATAATTCTGACTTCTTTTCTCATAATTGTTGGATATAAACTCACAGTTCTGACTTTTTTCTCAGAATTGCGAGATATATAAACTCACAATCATAACTGTGAGTTTATATCTCACAATCAGGAGAAAAAACGTAAGCCGGGGAAAAATGGTTAGAAATGCTAATCCACTTTAGTTCAGCCCCCACATCCTTTGACATTTCTAAAATTCCTTTTCTCCATATTTTCAGGTCTTGCTTTCTCCTTATGTGTTCATTTTCATCCCCTCTTGTCTCTCTAAGGAGCTGGAGTGTGGGACACATATGGCTGTGTATGATGAGAATATCCTGAAGAACCCTTTTTACCAGGCCCTAGAAAAACACAGACCGGATCTGTGCAGCAGGGTGGCAGAACTCCATGGCATTGTGAGTCTCTCACTTCCACATTTCTCATGATGGTATATTTATGTGTTATGTGTTTGTTTAACTGTTTTAACTCCTACTCCGATTTCAAACTGAGCAGAAGTGAATGTTGTTTGTTTGTTGACGACTGAAACCATGAACAGATTTATTTGTGGAGATCTTCTTTATGCACCAAGAGCTTGTAACACTCCGAAGAGAAAGGAAAAATTGAAATCGCATCATATGACTCCTTTAAGCTCAGAATTGCTTCGAACGAATCATTTCAAAATCATTGAAAAATTATTCTAATATTAAATGTATATTCTGAGAAAATTACAATCTTTTCTGACCTTGGATGCATTTAAACCTGTTGTAGGGGGCTCCAACACAATATTGGGACACTTTAAAATATCAAATGACCTGCTCTTTAAGATAACACTTATCTTAAGTGTGAACGATCATAATAGTATGGAAGCCCTTTACCGACCTTGAATAACAAATAAAACCAGGCAATTGTGACTTTTTATCTCATAATTCTGACGACTTTTCTCATAATTGTTGGATATAAACTCACAGTTCTGACTTTTTTCTCAGAATTGCGAGATATATAAACTCACAATCATAACTGTGAGTTTATATCTCACAATCGGGAGAAAAAACGTAAGCCGGGGAAAAATGGTTAGAAATGCTAATCCACTTTAGTTCAGCCCCCACATCCTTTGACATTTCTAAAATTCCTTTTCTCCATATTTTCAGGTCTTGCTTTCTCCTTATGTGTTCATTTTCATCCCCTCTTGTCTCTCTAAGGAGCTGGAGTGTGGGACACATATGGCTGTGTATGATGAGAATATCCTGAAGAACCCTTTTTACCAGGCCCTAGAAAAACACAGACCGGATCTGTGCAGCAGGGTGGCAGAACTCCATGGCATTGTGAGTCTCTCACTTCCACATTTCTCATGATGGTATATTTATGTGTTATGTGTTTGTTTAACTGTTTTAACTCCTACTCCGATTTCAAACTGAGCAGAAGTGAATGTTGTTTGTTTGTTGACGACTGAAACCATGAACAGATTTATTTGTGGAACATAATTAGTCATGTATTCATTCATGTGACTGGTCTGTTCACATGCGGTCATAAAGAGATTCTGTGTGTATGAAAGGATTATTTGATGTTGGGAGATGGTAGAAGTTATGTTAGCCAAGCGATGATGACAATGTCATGCGATTCTCAGATTTAAATAAATAATAATAACAATCAATAAATCAATGCTTAAACTTTGCCTAAAATATCACTGTATCACTACTGTTCTGTTGTTCTGGATATCAGCACAGTTGCTAGTGTGATATTGCTTTTATACAACAATTCAATAAACGAGAAGTTGATTTTTTTTTAGCTACTTACATTTTTAACACAAGTTACAAGTTACTTTTTATTTTTGCTTCGCGAATGGAGCGCTGCAGTGATGGCATATTTTTGAAGGCCAATCTGGAAGTTAGCAACACCCTGGTTCCCCGAAAAAGTCAATAGGATTTTTTTATTTGACTTTTAGATTGGATTATAACTTCTTTAATTTCAGGCGTTTGCTCATTTCTAGGTTTTACAACTCAATCCTTCAGCGCTCTATGAAAATAGATCCGCCCTGCGTCCCAACTATCCATCCAAAATAGTATGTGAGATTAGAATTAGTGTGTCCCACAATCCATTGCACTTTGACTAATGATTCATTTGAGAACTACAAACTCGAATAAAAAGTGTTAAAAAACTACAAACATGGGGGATGTGCGCGACCAACGCTTAGGTAGAGAGGTTTAGATAAAGGGGTTTGAGTTTAACCTTGTAAAAAATATTTATTTAATGTTGTATGTGTTATATTTCATCTGCAACAGCAATGTAAACTTTTAGAAACGTATGTTTGGTCGTTAACTTTTAAATGCATCATTATGCAGAAAATATGAGCAAAGTTCTCCACATGAAGACCCGCGGCTACTTCTTTTCTCTCCGATATGGTAGGAAGTTAAATTAAATGAAAAGTGGAGGATATAAACTGTGACAAGATTATTGGCAGGCCAGTTTACAGTGACAGGGTGCGTGTATCTATGCGACAGAGCGTCCGTTAAAGACGCAGTTGTATGACGTGATAGTATCCTATGTCCCAAAGCTTGCCTACTCTTCTACTACACACTCAAAAGTGTGTACTTTTTCTTCACCAAAAAAGTACATACTTTAAGTGTGTAGTATAAGTAGGCACATTGGGACGCAGCACCGATAAAGCCAACGCAGGATCAACCATTGTATGTGTCCAAGCAGCACACAGTAGTCGTTTTAGTCCTGAATTGGTTGAGTGAATGATTCAGTAAATCACTTATAATGGTCACTTGTCGCCACCTACTTGTGTAACAATTTAACCTGCAGAAAGGTTCACCGAAACCTGGACCCGCATCGGGACCGCTGTTCTCTGTGCTTGCGCTTAAGATGTGTGCGCTGCACGCAAAACAGTGCGCAAGTTCTTTCCCTTCCTGCGCTTAAATGGTTTAAAATCACATTAAAATACGAACGCAGGAATCATTAAGCAGAATCGAAATGCGTGTTTCTTACCCGGTTCTTGCAAATTTGAAACCAGTTCTGGATACCTGACCCTAGTCATGTGTTACCATTATGGTGTTTAGTATTTGTGTGAATGACACAGCACACCTCTATATATTAGTATTTTCCTTCTCTTGCTACCATATTTGTTTACTGTAAAATTCTGGCAACCACAGCTGCCAGTTTTTTACTGTAAAATTGTATAGATTTTACAGTGTACTGAAAGTATTCTGGAACAATGATTTGTCAGCTGAACAATTGGAATATTGTTAAAAGACAGTGCAATGCATTGATCTTACCCTTGTTTTCATGTCTGACAAAAATAAAACATAGCGCTACCCTGACTAAGCTCTAGCAATATTAATAAATATTATAATTTTTTGAACGCTGGAGTCTCGTTTCAGTTACAATTATATCAAAGAACACCCCAACATGAGTTGGATCTTGTGAACTCAAAAGAAACATTTAGTGTCGCTATAGCAAATTCAAAAAGAGGACAAAACAAAGCATCAAAGTAGTTAATATCGTGTGTGTGCTGTCTTGTTTAGATTCTGGTACCGTGTTTTGGAAGTTTACCAGCGGGCTCTTTCACAGCATCTCAGTTCGACAGATATGTGCTTCATCCTGCCGAACAGGGTTACCAGACGCGGGATGGAAAGGTATGTAAAATCCCACATTCAATCTCACAGAAGTTCTCTGTTTATCATTCAGAGCTGAATATCTGGATGCTGACTGTAACCGAACAGGTGTTTTGTGTGACATATCTTCCAGGAAGTGTCTATAGACAATAATCAGGTCCGTCTGGGTGCAGGGTTTCCCAATCCCACCTCTGTCCCCGTCCTATTTGAGGAGACGTTCTACAATGAGAAAGAGCAGGCCTACAGCATACTGTGCATCGCACGGCCCTTCGACTCTGACCACAGTCCTGGTAATTCCTTTATCATCGAATGCAATGACTGATTTGGATCAAAAGTTCAGATTAACATGGAAGAGATTTAGTGATTTATTGCTTGACGTCTTGTTGCAACATGCCTGGTTAGGATGAGGTGAAATAATGTTAATGTATTGTTTGCTGGGCTAATGTTTTGATTTTGTTTATCTGTTCTAAATTTTCAAAATGTATGATTTTGATTATTGTATTCTTTCTTCTGCTTTTGCAGAAGAGCTGAGTACTGTTTCTGCTCCGTACTGTCTGAAGAATATCGAGGATGTGAGGGATTTCTTGGGCCGCCATGCTGAAAAACTGGACAAGTTTGTGGCCGCCTTTTGCCACACCTTTAAAGAACAAGAGAGGAAGGGCCTTCGACATCAAATAGTGAGTCACACTCTCATTTACATTACATAAGTCCTTGCTCTTTTCCAAATAAGTGTTAATCACAGCCTGATGATGGATTAATCATTAAGAGAAGTTAAGTGGGGAGAGTCTTATTGGAATCATTATTTGAAGCCAATCCTAAAGAATCCTATTGTGGCATTACATCATAAAAACTAGATCTTGAGGCTGTTTGTATCTAATTACCAAAATTATAAAATGGTTTGGATGGGCTAAAATGGTGATATTAAATGAAAAAATGATATTGATACAGATTTTCAGACTCTATTCAAGTACGATTCACAAGCTCTCGATTAGATTTTGATTCATTTTGATTTGATTCCAATAAATGTATTTAGGTAATACAGGGCTTTTTGCTGCCCAGGCAGAAGCTCCAAGGGTGTACTTTGAATTTATTGGCAGATACAGTTTATTGTGTAACTAAAATACCAATAAAAAAAAAACTCTGGTTGTTTTATTGATTTATTTTTCTCACCCAATCCTTCAGGACTCTGTAAATACTCTTTACACAAAATGTCTTCAGTTGCTGTTGAGGGACTCTCGTCTGGTAAGCTGTTGTATGAACTTATCACTCTAATACTGACTTCCTTCTGGAAGCTAATTGGGTAAAATGTCTTAATTTCAGCAGATTTTGGCGAGACAGGAGATACAGATGACACTACTCAAACAAGCAGTGGAGGTCAGTTAAAAACACACCACTTTGTTGTTCTCTTTCTTTTAAACTTGTAACTTTGACAGAATTCATTTGTCATTTTTTTCCTCCATTTTCAGATGTACATCCATCATGGCATCCATGATCTACTCTTTAGTTATGTGGGGACTCTTGAAGCAAGTCGGGTATTACCATGAATTACCTAATTATCTCCTTAATGTGTGTTTTATACAACATAGGGATATACAGTATGAAATATCAACAATTGTGTGTTTTTCTGTCAATATGGGGTGCTGTGTGTACATTAATGAGGAAAAAAAATTAACTTAAATGATTTTAGCAAATGGCTGCAATATAACAAAGAGTGAAAAATTTAAGGGGGTCTGAATACTTTCCGTACCCACTGTGTATATATATATATATATATATATATATATATATATATACAGTATATATATATATATATATATATACGATTAATCACATCCAAAATAAATGTTTTTGTTTACATAGTATATGTGTGTACTGTTTATATATACATTTATTATTTATATATAAATACACACCCATGCATGTATATTTAAGAAAGATATTTTACGTTTACATATTAAATATAGTTATATATATAACATAAATTATATGAATATAAATGTATACATGTAAATATTTTCAATATATATACTGTATGTGTGTGTATTTATATTGTGACGAGTTGGCTGCCTCCCCCTAATTATCAGCATCACTCCACCCCGTCGCCGCCCTTCGCCAGGCTCCCGACATGAGTGGGTGCGTGAGAGAGGAGGGGCGCTGAAATAGCCTGGGCTGGCGGCATGTGATGGGGCATACCTGAACCGAATGGAGCCTCATCACCGCCGCTGTTTAAATGCCGAGCGCTCCTCTCCTCGGGAGACCGGTCTCTTCCTTGTGCATGCACGCTGGTGTCCTCATGGGTCTAGGAAGGGTGCGTAGGGGGACTCCCATGCCGCCAGAGTCGTGAGCTACCGGACCCACGGTCCAGACGAGAACCGCACCCGTTACACGGCCGTCAGGCCAGGAGGCCAGGCCGTTTAGTCCTTTCAAGCGCCGTGGGCCGAGAGAGAAGGATGAAGCTGCTGAACGAAGCCGCCGCCCCTCACGCCCCGGGACCAAGAGGGGAGCGCGTGCGGCCATCGGACTCCGCCCCTTACCTGGACCCTTCCTTCCTGACCACTGCCCTTCCCTGCACGAACCCCGCAGCACGACAAGGACACCAGATCCCCTGTTTTATTTTGGACACTTTATTCCCTTTTCTGGACACTTTGTTTATTTTGTTAATAAAAGCCTCTCTGAGGCCTGACGCCACACCCACTGTGTCTGTCGTTTGGTCGTCCCGTGACAATATATACATAAAAAATTAGGGATGCACGATATATCGGCCACCATATCGGTATCGGCCGATAAATGCTAATTTTTTCTGTTATCGGTATCGGCCTGATAAGAAAATTTGGCCGATATCTTAAAGCCGATAAATAATGCATTATTTCCTTCAGAGACACTTCAGATGCGCGCTGTTCGTTTGCAGCCTTTTGTGCAATTGTACATTGTAATATTGTGTTTATTTGATGTATATCTGATTTATCTCATATAGAATGCGTTTGGTTAAGTTAAAAAGAGCGCTTCAGTTTACCGGTGATCATCTTTAGCTCAGCACACGCAGCTCAAACAGCAGTGCACAACATTAATAACTATGATTGGGAATGTCATGTATATAACATTCTAATGAGAACATTATTATAATAAAACATTGTGAATTCTTTGGGTTTAGTTGCCGTGTTTCAGCACGTTGTTATGGGAAGAG